GAGGTCAGCACGGCGGCAGCTGCGGTGTCCCGAACATCACCCTCCAGGTACCTGCGGGGACAGGGGGATGCAAAAACGACACTGCATCGTTGTTCGATTTCCTCGGCTTTCGGGTAAAAAGTAGTGTCCAGAGTTTGGCCAACTGCAGGCAGCCAGAGCATGGCACGGGCTGTGCTGCCAGGACACCAGGGAGGGAGGAGGATCCTCATTCAGACTCAGAACATACTGGAAGGTGCTAGTCCTAAAGGTACACTCCTAACAAAGGTACTCCTAGCTCATGGCAGGGGGTGGAACATTGTGTGATTCCACAGCTGTTCAGTACCCAAGACCTCAATCCACTGCTATTCCCCCACATATTGCCAAGTTTCCTGTCTAAGGCTACTGCAAGGCTGAGCCTTTAAACCCGAGGCAGGTTTCTCTCCTGAAGGGAGATCAGCACATAGAAAACAGCATCAGCTGAGCCTGCCGGACGCTTCAGAATCCAGGACACAGGACGGAAGAGGCCACTGCCTGCCCCCAACTGCTCCACACACACAGACCTAGCCTGGAGCCCTGCAAAGCTCCAATCTGAGGAGGCCAGGGACACACTACCCCAGTCACCGAGCCCAGCAGCAGTGTCCCTGTGGCAGCAGTGCCCCTGGACAGGCAGTGACAGGGCACAGGGCTCAGCACACAGCTTGGCACAGGGAGAGGGCAGGAAGCTCTCACCCCCGCCCCTCCAGCCCTCCGGATACACGGCAGGGCCGGGCACAGCCCCTTATCACTGGAGAGATGGCACTGGGAGCACTGCCAACAGCACTGCTCTGCTCCTTAGGGCCTCTCCCCTGCAGAGCAGCCGGGAAACCAGCACAGCCGCTGTACTTGCCTTCCAGCAGGGCCGGGCGGGAGGGAGGAGAACATGACCCCTGTGCTCCTCCCTGTGCGGGGGTTGAAGGCCACCACGCGGAACGCTGGGTTTCCACAGCACTCGCTCTCTTTGGCGTGTGGATGGCTTAACACAACAAACAGAAGGCCCTGGTACAGAGAGGGAAAACACATCACTCAAAACAACAGCAGGAGGGGAAAAATCCCAGAGAATTTTCCAAAAGTTAGCCGCTATACAATCTCTCTAATCACAGCCCCATGGACAGTGATGCATTATTTTTACTGAGGAAAACAGAAATGGTTTACTTTCCTTATCAAATTAGATAAAAGCCAAAGCAGCTGCTGGCTGATAAGGGCTGATGCAACACAGCAGTGACAGCTCAGTGACCCGATGGATTTATGCTTTTATCTTCCTGTTCAGAAACCTAAACATGCCATAGGATGAGGTGACACTTAAAAGGAAAATTTCTGGGCCTCATTTTAATCCCAAGGAGCTTAAAATATAACAAGAATTCCACAGAAAACAGCACAGCTGAAAACAGTGGCACCCAGAACAGCCACAGACCAGCACAAAATATCCTGGGATGGATGTTCTGAGGAAGACTCTGGCTCAAGGCACCATTATTGGACAAGACACTCTTGCCCCAAAAGGTTACTAGAAACAATCAATAAATTACAAAAATCCATTGGGAATCACAGCACAGGTGGAAGCAAGTGGGAAAGGATCTTGGTGTATTGGCACACTGCAGAGAGCAGAGTCAGGGGAGCCAGTGTGGGTTATTTACTGCTCCTGGTGACCTATTTGCCTTTGAAATCTCTGCAGTGTATTGAAACAGAGCTGAGAGTTCACTACTCTCCAGAAACCTCAATCCCAAACATCCCCAGCCCAAGGATGAACTGTGAACTCCGTGTACGTACACAGTCGGAATAGGCTCGGTGGCAGATGGAAGCAGGGTAGGAATAACCAACGTGCATCTTCCTCAGCAGCTGTCCTGTTTTCAGGTTCCTGCAGTTGGTGAAAACACAGATTCTGCTGCATTTCCACCCTCTGATCACAGTTACACCACTCTGCAGGACACAGGTTCGGTTCCACATTAACCAAACAAGCCAAGAGGCTGCAGGAAGGCTATGAGGATTATGCAAAGCAATGGAATAGAGCAGCACAGTTCATTCCCTGTCTGTCCAACTGGAATGCCACCCTGCAGGCCCTCTGACAATCACCTTTCACAGGGGGATCAGCACCATCCAGCACCCCTGCACAGCCCTGCAGCCTCCTGCTCCAGCCCCACACCCCCAAATCCTGCAGTGGCAGAGCCAACACTGACCAAACCACGACGCTGTTCACTGCAGTGGTGCCCACCAAGGCTTCTCTCATCCCTTCTACTTCAGCAAAGGCTGTAACAGTTTCTTCAGGAGGTCTCAGGGTCTGCCCATCCCTGGTCCTGGAGGGAGAACAGCATGTAGAAAAGCAGGAAAAGCAACAGGGGTGTGTTCTGTGCTCAGCACAGCTCCAGCAAGGAGAGGAACCCAACACATCAGAGATGTTTACTCACTTCTATTCCACCTGCCACACTGAGCCCACCCTAAACCAGCACCCTCAGACTCACCCCCCTGTCTCTGAGAGCGACACCATCTCCACTTGCTGCTCCTGCACACTCCGGCTGCTGCTCACCAGCCTCCTGTCCTTCAGCCCAACAACTGCTTTTATATTCCCAGCTCTCACTAGGGAGTGCTTGAACGAGTCAGTCTCAGAGGAATAAAGCAAGAGCCTGAACAAAGAGACAAGCACACGCTGTGAGAGAGGAAGCACCACTCAAACATGCCATAGCATATACAAATCATCCTGTGTTTAATCAGCCTGTCAGCTCTGGAGAGAATAAAAAAGTACTTATAATGATTTTTAGAAATACTTTCTATATTTTCCAACTGTTCAAATGACTGAGAAAGTGCCACATTAGAAAAAAGCTAATTTCAACCACTACTCATGAAAAGCTGAGTGGCAGCTGCTCAGCGTGCAAAGTGCTAGTAAGAAATAAACACAAACCTTATTTCTCCAATCTCTAGCTCTCCCAGTGCTACACACACAAGGTTACAGGTGTCTGGCAGAGGAACAATCTGGATGATAGGGATCTGGGACAGGAACACAGGAATTCAGTGTCACCTACAGTGTCTCTTTGACTTGTCATTTTCTAGTGTTTCAAGTCAAATGATGCTAAGCAGAACTAATTTTCAGATCCCTCTGAAGAAGCACACTTAGATTAAGAGTTGAACTCTCTGCTGACTATTTATCTAATTGAACAATCCCTGTTGATATGGAGACAAAAAGTGTCTGCAGGGACTGTAAGGGGGAAGAGCACAAGGCAGTGGCTGAGGTGCCGACACCATTCCATGCATGGAGCACCAAATTCCAACAAGTACTATGCTACCACACAAGCTCCTTGTATCTTGGGAACTCATCCAGGGGACAAGAGAACTGCCCTAATTCTAGAAGTCAGTGCTGTGTCCATACCTCTCCCAGCTGCCAAGTGTAGACCTTCCCCCAGCGGTCGGGGGACAGAGGCTCCCAGAGGGACACGGAGCTCTCGGAAGCAGTGACCACACGTAGCTCCCTGCAGCCAGCTGCTTCCCACCACACTGTGCTCACATCCACAGCACAGGAACCTGAGGAATCCTGCCCAAAACACAACAGTGCTGATTTTCTTCTGATAGACACTAATATCTGGTGAATTTCTGTTAACTTTGGTGCCATAGAGCTGCTGCTGACACAGAACAACTGTGACCCACCTTTAGTTCTGACATGAGCTGCAGGCTCTCTTCTTTGGGGCCATCCAGCAGCTCTGGAGTCAACTGTTCTGCTACATCTTTTTCCTGCACAAACAAGTAAAGAATGAGGATAATTCAGCCTGGAAGTCACATTCAGTGCCTGCAAGAGCAAAGCAGAAGTGTTGCATGTTCTCTCTCACTCTCATGCAGTCACTGCTTGCTGTTGCTGGAGAGGCCTTTCCCCTGAAGTCAAACAAGACCCTGGAAAAAGGGATGTGCCCACAAAACCACTGACTTAGCACCCCTAGCAAAGAGCCCAGCTTGTTACCTGTTCAGGAGAAGCTCTGCAGGATCCCTGCTCTTTGCTCTCTGACTGCTGATGCTTCTCCAAGGGCACATCCTCATCAGATTTATTATCAGTACCTCTTTCAGCTGCTAAAGGAAATGTTGTACCTTGTTCCTCCTCTTTTCTGGCAGCCTCTACACCACAGCTGTGCAGGTGCAGTGGCATGGCAGGGTCTCTGCATGCCACAGCACTCAGGGCCTGGGCAGCTGCTCCTCTAGAGGAAGGTGGGCCAGTGTGTGAGGCAGGGACAGATGGTGTGTGGGGGAACACCTCACCATGTACTGAAGGTAAAACACCTGGAGTTGCACCCACAGCAGGGAAAAGAGATGAGGCAATCTGAGACTCGGGCTGAGTGGGAGCTCCAGCCAGGACAGTCCCCATGGGGGTAAAAAGCAATTCATGGGTGGAAAGGTCCTTCTTGGAAGCTGGGCTGTCCACGTGAGAGAGCACAGGGAATCTGCTTTTGGAAGGTGAAATCACATTACTTTTGAGACTTTTTTTTTCTGGATTAATCTGTGCACCTTGTGCGTTCTCTGGAGCCACAGCATCCCCAGACACACTGGGAACAAAATCCTCCAAGTCCTTCACAGGGGAAGATTCCAGTTTCTCCAGTTTCAGTACTCCAAACTCTTCATTGGGTAGGTGGAAGTCTCTGATACCCAGCCTGGGGATCAGCCACTGGTAGCCACGGAAGGAGAAGAGGGAGCTGTGAGTGTCAGGGTCCACAGCAGGAAGATAGAGAGCAGCAGGACCCTCTGAAACCGTGGGACAGCTCAGTCCTTTGTTGCTGTCATCTAAACACAAGGATACAAGAAAGCATATCACATCATAACATAACCAGCAACTTGCCTTTTCAGGGTCTCTCATCAAAAGAAGGGAAGGGAAGTGACGGAAAGAGAAGGGAAGGGGAAGGAGGAGGTTAACCCCTACCAGATTTTGTTGAGTAAACACAGCAGGATGTGAAGAGCAGGACCTGCACTTGTGGGGGTACTCCCCTGCCCTGGGGAACAGGGAGTTTTGGGGAGTGTTTATATGTGGGCAGTACCTTTGGAGCACTGCTGGGCTCTGTGCCTCGCAGAGGAGCGCAGGGAGCGGCGCAGAGGGACACTGATGGCGCGGTGCTTATCAGCCTGACACGCAGGTGAGTTGGCTTCCAGATCTCCCACATGGCTGGAAAAAGGTTCATTCCCTGGGCTCAGGGAATCACTGCTCAGAAGTGGATTTTGAACCGGCCCTAAAAGAGTCTCAAGGCATTTTCCTGGCACTTGGCTCCCTCCTGGAGGAGGATCAGGACCCGCTGGCAGTGCAGCTCCAGGCGCTCCTGTCTCCCCAGACCCTAGTGCTGCTGCAGCAAACCTCTCATCTGAGGATGATTTTTCAAGGTTAGCATCATGGTTTTCCTTTTCACTCAGGCCCTCACTTGTCAGCAGAGCACTGCTTTCCCTGGTTGTTATGAGATCCAGGTTCACTATGAGCTCCTGTGACACTGGATGCACAGGGGCTTTGCAGGCAGACTTTGTCCTTCCCTTCTGTCTCCTCTGGGATTGCCTCTGTTCTCGCCTTGTGCTAGTGATGCTGTTCTGGGAAATGGATCCATGTGAAGTGCTGCTGCCACTGGACACAGGAAGAGATATCTGAGAGCTACTGGAGTTTGCTGGATCATTTTCTACCCCAAGACAAGGGAACAACACAACCCCTGACTCCAAATCGTCTTTAGCTCTTTCTCGGCAGGGCTGATCTGAGCTTGCATCTTTCTGTCTGCACTTACTCCACTGACCTTTCTTGCTCCTGCCCAGTTGGCTGAGGATTACAGCATCCAGGTCCACCTTCCTCTGGCAATTTGACATGCGCCGGGTTGTCCTGACATAGTACTCCACGGGGAAGAGCAGCCCTTCGACCACTGTGCAGGAGCTCAGTGCACCCTCGGGGGCTGCTGCCTGCTCGGCAGGAGGAAGTCTTGACTGAATTTCAAGCTGCTGATTCTCCAATAATCCTTCAGCACTGCCCAGAGCATGAGCTGCGGGACAGGGATGTAAGGTGTTAGCATCCCTTTGATTTCCTTCATGGCTTTTGTTCTCATCAGTTATGGTGTTATCTGCTCCATCAGGCAATGTTTCATTCTCTGACATCAAATCCAGAAGCCCATGTAATTCTCCCTGATCCTCACACACAGTCTCACCATCTGGTTGCTCTATGACACTATGGGATTCTTCTCCTCCATCACCTCTGGTGTCAAGTACAACAGAGTGTTCATGCTGTGAACACGGCCCAGGTGTGGCCACAGCCCTTGGGGACTCAGGCGCACACAGGGACAGCTCAGGCTCTCCTGCAGAGACACTGCCCTCAAGCACATCCTGTACAACTCCTGAAGCTGCACCAGGAGTGAAACTGTTTCCCTCTCCCTGCATGAGCACTGCCCTGGACACCCTTTGAGCCTGTTCCTCAGTGTGTGAGAGGCTGCTGCGCCTGAACACTGGTGACTGGAGCTCCTCTGCACCAGCAATTTGGTTTTTCATCATTTCATCGGTGCTGATTACATGCCCATCACGTACTGAGTCCCTGTCCTTTGATTTCAGAGCCTTCGTCCGTCTCCTCAGCTTCATCACACCTCTGGAGCTTTGGGGTGTTTTCTCCTCAGGCCTAATAATCCCACAGCAGGGGTTTTCCTGGCTGGCTTGGATGCTTTCTGCTCCTGAGCTGTCCTGCAGGCTAACATCAACATTGGAGACTTCAGGAATGCGTTTAAACGGGACAGACGTTGTCTTCTCCATGCCAACATCAGAGCAGGTTTCAGGCTGTAAGTGAGAGGTTCCACCACTGTCAGCACTAGGAGATGTGTCATCTCTAGAACCTGGGGCGAAAAATTTCACACATGTAAAGCACTCCCAGCAAGTCCAAGAAACACATCACACGGTACCACTAGACTTTGTTAGGAGGGAAAAATGGGGATCTTATAGACTTGTATGGAGCACCGCAGACCTGGTGGAGAGGGAAGCAGAGATGTTACAGCAGACCATGGCTCAGCAGCAGAGCAGGGCAAGGGCCACGTGTGGGTGTGGGGACAGCAAGAGGGTCAGCAGGGCTGGGCAGGACAGGCTGTGGAGCACTGAGGGGCAACAGGGGCTGAGCCAGGCCCCTAGACCCAT